TAACAAAATGCAAACCTCAAGGGGGTAGTTTGTTATTATCAAACTAGAGAAGCACATTAAGGATAACAAATTAAGAAAGAGTCCTACCAGCCATTCTTTGTGACCCTGAAGTCCATCATGATTCAGGGTTTTCACAGCCACGGTAAGTCCCGTCCCAGGTTTAACAGGTGCTGTACCATTCTCTTCAATCCATCCCTTGAACACACAACCAAAACCCCCTTCACCAAGAAGAGATTCTGGTCTAAAATTTCTTGTGGCCATCTTAAGGTCATTGAAACCAAATTTTCGAAGGCGGGAAGAAATTTTAAGCTCCTCCTCGAGTCTTGTGCTTGAAGAAACGCTTTCAGCATTGCTAGTTGTGGTGGATGGGACTATAGGGGCAACTGGTTGGTCTTTGCCTTTGTCACTTGCAGATTTACTTTCTGTTCATATGCAGAAATGGGGAGAAAGTAAATAAGAAAAAGAATAATGCTTTAATACTAAAGTATATAGTCTGGTTGAGATTTAGCATATCACATACAAAATGACTAGAGTATTACAACAAATTGAACCAATAAATAACGATGAATTTGCTATAGAACTTCAAGGTTGATCACAGAAAACGAAATTAAGGAGTGCAATTTCCAGCATTGCACTTCACATAGTTTTTGTAAATGGCTTACTTGATCAACCAAGAACAATTTCTAACCTCAAAATTTCAAGGTTCAAAATCGGTTCACAAGATGGACAATAATAAAAGAGCTAGATAGAAAAGCAAAAAATAAATACATGGCTGCACCAACAAGACAGTATTGAGAATTCACAGTAAAAAATTACATTAATTCCATATACACTACACAATGCAATCTCAAATCATACCATGACACAGTATGATGAATTCTACCTAACCATAGGTTTCATATCATGAAGGGTCTTCTACATGATGTTTATGGTGTTATAATCAGTACACATGCAAATAAAGCAGACATGTACAACTCCAGCAAACACACACATATACAGAGAGCAACGTTCTTTCAGGAAGAAAGAAATTTGGAGCCCATTAACCATATTGTTGCCAAACCTGGCAGTGACCAAAAAGTAAAAGGAGAAAAGAAGAAGAAGAAGAAAGTATCAGAAAATACAACTCAAACACGATATCTTTCAGAAAATGAGGGCATTACCATGAGTGCTGATGCCGCTAATGGAGGTATCAACTTTAGATCTTGAGGGAACACAACAGCCAAAAACCCATAATCTAATGCAACATCCCTTTTCCAATACTTCATCATCAATATCACCACACTCTCTTCTGTTACTCCCCTTTGATAACTTGACATCCCAAGACTCCACTTTTAAGCCCTCATCAACTAATCCCATCTTTAGCAGATCCCAAAATCATCAAAATCTCGCAAGAAACAACAATTTCAACCTCCCTCTAAATATAAACATACGGAAAAAAAAAGATAAATCCCCCAACTCCGAGAAATTTCATAGAATCGCCTAAAGCAAATCAAACCATTTTCAGAAATAATTTTTAAACATGACAAAAGGAACCATTTCTTTCCCCACTTTCAACAAAAACCAAAGCCCTATATGGGAGGGGAAAAAATGTTTCCACCCCTCAAGAACCGATTTTTATCCAGCAAATTGTTATATGAAAGTGAAATAGTAATAAAAAGGACAAAAAGCTCGAAAAAATTAGTTCCGGACCAAATAGCTCAAAACACTACAGAATATCCTCCCCCGCTTCAATAATTAATTTCTAGGAAAACCCACATCAAATCAATGAAATTACAAAGATCCCGACGAAAAAATAGAGCTGAAATTTGAAGTGAGAGGGCACAAAATCCCAGTGATCGCAGATCACATGCTTGACCTTCAAAGCATAACCCTTTAGCATTGTGCAACGAACAAAGCTGAAATTGTGGATTCGTTATAACAGTACTTGTGATGGTCAATCACAATCTTATAATTCAAGAAGAACGAGAAAGTACATTTAACTATATGGCCACCACAAAAATGCCTCTCTCGGAGAAGGACGCCCAAAAGCTTAAAAAGGAGTCGAAATATTGTGACTGGTTCACTGTACAAGCTGAAAACGCCCAAAAGCTTCAAAAGGAGTCGAAAATATTGTCACTAGTTCACTGCAGTAGCTGAAAACGAAACAATAAATTATAGCGACATGACCATTGAACGGGCCGGTTCTGGGACGTGTTTTTTGAGGACCTGAACCGGTCCAATCATGTTTACGGGTCGATTTAATGAACAAGTGGTTTTGGACGGATGCAGTGAATTGCCGGTTCTGGGATGCTTCAAGGTTGAATCGGTTCTGGACCGGTTTTTAAAAAATAAAAAATAGATGGCCAAAGGCGTAGCTATAAGTATTTTACATTCAGGGCTGCAAAATATGCAACTATTAATCGAATCGAGTTGTCCTCTAACATAGTTCGATTCGACTTATAAAAGTTCAAGCTTAATTTCTTTAAACGAGTCAAACTTGAACAACTAATCGAGCTTGTCTATCAAACAAGTCGAGTCGAGGTTCGAGCTTAATTTGTTTGTATAAATCCGGCTACCGATTCTTAAAAAACCCATTACCACTCGAAAAAAAGAAAGCGAGAAAAACCCTTACCAGGAGATTCGTTAATGAGTGATTTTCTAGACGTGAAGAGAACCGCCGTGGTGTGGCTTTGGACGGCCAATTTCCGTGAGGTGGTGGGACTTTGGACGGCCAATTTCCGTGGCTTTGGACGGCCAATTTCCGTGAGGTGGTGGGACTTTGGAGGACCAATTTCCGTGAGGCCAGTGTTCGTATCTGGTATTCTCTACTTTGAGAACCGGAATTAATTTGGGGGTTGGCCTTCTTCGATCCCTGCCCGGTTTTGTCAGAAAGAATGGCGTTTCATCTCGTTGATACGCAATCGGTGTTTGTTGGCTAGAAATTAGAGTTTTGCGTATCGTGAAATCTTGTTGAATGGATATTGTGATATTTCAGTATATGGGCTCTCGGTCTCTTCTTTTCAGTTTATTAAATTACCAAGTTGTCATTACAAAGATGACAAAGTAAGGTTATTTTAGGTATATCATATTTCTACAAAATCATTCGCACTTTTATAATAGTATAGATATAGATATAGAGATAGATGTATACGTGCATCATTATATCTACCGACTGAACCAATAACCCAATTCTCTAACTATTTATTAGAGATATTAAATGGTCCTTGGCCCAACGAGCCGACCCATTTAGCCCGAAAAAAAAACAGGGTTAGAGCCTTTTATTGGCAGCCCGTTTAAATCTGGGCTTTTTAGGCTCGAACCGTTTAGCCCGAAGCCCGTTAGGGCTGGCCCGAAAACCGCTAGGGCTAGCTCGTTTAACTTGGATTGGGTGGTGTATGTGTTTTTAGAAAGCTAAGGAATATGTCTCATGATTCCTTGTACATTATAATTTTGCTATTCTACTTCACATGTAATTATGATTTATAATGTATTATTATTATTTTGATAGATAATTATTAACAAATTTTATTCTATTTCATAGCAAAATATTTAAGTCAATCAGAACGGCTAATAAAAAACAAATGATACAAAGACCTAACACATAGAATATAAATTTAGCAGTATGTTATATTGTGAAAATTCCCGAGACCTACCAAATAACTAGTCAAATGGTAGTTATAAGTAATAGTTCGAACATTTTGTTTTTCTATTGAGAAACAATATGTTATTTAAGAATTTGTAATGTGTGTTCACATATGAAGTGTAGTTGTATATATATAGTGGTAAATACTAAATAGCCGTTGAAAGAAATTGTTAACTAGGTGTTGTAATTTTTTATTTTTATTTTTATTAATAATAATAATAATAATAATAATAATAATAATAATAATAATAGCCCGTATAGCCTGTTTAGCCCGAAGCCTGCTAGGTATATGGTTAGGTCCTTTTATTGGTAGCCCATTTAAATTCGGGCTTTTAAGCCCAAACCATTTAGCCCGAAGCCCACTAGGGCTAACCCGAAATTACTAGGCTAGCCTGTTTAACATCTCTACTATTTATCATGCCGAGTTTAAACACTTCGAGAAGTGAAAGTAGAAATAAAAAAGTAGTTAAGGGTTAGGTTAAAAGAAGATTTAGGGAATATATACATGTAATGCCCATCACACTCAGTGAATATGAATTGATGGCTACCCATTTTATGCGAATAAATTCAACTTATGATAAGGTGACCGCGCACAAAAGTTGATGAAAATTTCTGCTTTAAATTGTTGTTTTCCATCTTTTTTTATAATTAATGAGTAATCATCAAGCAGTTGTAATGTCAAAAATTGACCGATTAGGATTAATAGAAAATGAACCATAAATTATGGATTTCGATAGATGAACCTAAAACCATGCCACAATGATTGTGCATTGAATTGAAATAAGGAAACACATGCTTATTGTTGGATTAGATGGACCAAAGCAAAGTTAAATTTGATTTTTATAAGGACAAAAGAAAACAAAGAAAAAGACGAAAAGAAGATGTGATAATTTGACATCTGCGTGACAAAAGAGAGACATGGTGAAGTTCTACGGAATGTTTAAAATACTTAAATATCTTTAATACTTAATACTGATAAATACACACAATGTATATACATAAACTATATAGAAAATAAAGATAATACCCTCTTATGGTATGCTTCACCTCTATGGTACCACACCCTCTTCCCTTGAATCTACTAACAATATATTCTTACCTCAAGACTATTTCACGAATTCCAAATCCAATCAATACGTCTATGTGATAATTCCTCAAATGAAAGCACAAACACATTTCACACGTAAGGTTCATTTCTACTTGAAATAATTGAAACGTGCATTCTCTACAGTGAGTGAAATTTGCAAATAAATTCCAGTTTACGAAGAGGAGAAGACAACCACCAAGGAGCTGTTAGAATGGGCATCAAAATTATACTGGAAAAGCAACACAACCTCAGAGTACACCAGTGGCAATGCTTGAAGTTGCATTTATCTTCAAAGATTGCTCGGGTATATAAGTCAGTCCTGCCAAGATGAAAAAAATCATTGATCAACTAAAGAAGATGCATCTTCGCCAAAAATAAAAATTAATTGATCATGAGACAGGAAGTGAGACAATAAATAACCTTGAGAACATATTTGTTTTACCTTTCTCCTTAACCTCTATCTGTAGAGAATCAAGGGTGATTATACCATCAGTCAGTGGAAGTACTTCAAGCTTGACAGTTGCCATAGATTTAGAAGGAACACATCTAGGGCAAAGAAAAATGCTTGAGTCAATGAGTACAAAATATTTTTCTAGAAAAAAAATAAAAAAATAAAAAGAAAGAGTTAGTGTACCCCAGTGGAACTCTACTCTGCAACCATAAATGGGTGCAACCCAGATCACTGTTTGGAGCTTCAGATACCGGCCCATCTTCTACATTTTGTCCTTGCATATCAGTGTTCACTCTCTCAATTAACCCAGCAGAAGGAGAAAACGTTCCCAAAGTTGTGGTAGGCGAACCACTCAAAGGCACTACAGAGGGAGAAGTGAATGAAGCTGGGGCAAGAACTGTTAATGTCAGATTGTCCGGTGTCATATTAGATGCTTGAAGAGTTAAGACCTGAAATTTGAACCACGTAAGATGATACTGCAATTAACTAATAAAGAAAAGATTAAAAAAAAAATGTGTCCCCATGAATTGATTTCAATAACCTGAACTGGAAGCTTGGTTCCATCAGATCCAAGAGTTTGTGTCGACATTTCAGATGCCACGGATATCATAAGATCCCGGGAAATTCGGGGCCTCCAGCTGGTCCGTTGCTTAAAGAACAACTTTGATACTACACAATATTCAGATTAGTTAGACAAATTAAAAGATTCTCACCTAGTTTAACCATGTAAGATTAGGATTTAATACCGGTATAATTGCATCGACATGAAACAAGAACTGCATACTGATCAGTAAGTGATCCGCCATGTTTGCTTTCAATATTGGACAAGTTTTGCCAGTTTGATGAGGCATTTCCAGCTGGCAAGCCCGATGGCCGTGGGTCACTATCATTTTGACCCTTGGAGTGCCTCCACAATGTAGTAGCTGGCTTGAGAATGAAGGAGTGTTCTTCACCTCTCCTGCATTATAAAACCATAGTCAACACCTTTGGATTAGAGATCAATCAACAGCCATGGACTAACCAAAAGGATGAGGCAGAAACATCATAGTAGGATCACAACAATTTTAGGTAGATGAACATATATATATATGTATATATATGGATCATTGCACCGGAACAGGTCATACACATTACACAGCTTTCGCAATATATTTAGGTAACTGGTCCATCCCAAGAAAACCAATTCCTATGCACACTTGTATTTCAAAAATCATTTTTTCTCCTTCAAATTTCTAAATTAATTGTGATCCAGAAGTGCTTGGATTTGCTAAATGTCATGCCATTGACTTCTCATGAGAAACTAAAACAGGTAACATATTATTGGGAGGGATAGGAAAGTTTCCATCATATTTGGCATGGAGAAGGGTTCTTTCATATATTTTGTTTCGCACTTCTGCACGTATTAATGAATAATAAATTATATTTTTGTCATCAATGAGGAAAGGGAAACCCAGGCATGACCGAGCAAATACCTACGACTTCACATTTAAATGGGACTTACAGCTTTGGTATGCCTCTCCACTGGAACAATCAACCTCACTTGAGATCAATTTTATATCTCAACTCGGGGCAGGTAAGACAAACAAGTTAATAGGTTTCAAAGAGATCTTCTGACATTAAAGTTTAACATTTCTTCACGATTTCACATTACTGACCATATTCAGAAAAGCATGAAGAGAAGAATGGATGGATATTTGTAATACAATTAATGTTTCATTTTGCAGACAGGAGAATATCATTTTCACCTGAAATAATTCAAAAGAAACACTTACTATGAAAATACTCAATATTCTCAATTTATAAAAAAGTAGGAAAAAAAAAAAAGAATTTTTAAGCAGAAGTTCTCACGATGATTTAACTTATCATCATTACTGCATCTATAATGGGAGAGAAAAAATAATTTCGGAGCCTTTACAGATGTAATCATGTCACTAACACATTAAAAAGAAAAAATTCCGATGTTCCATGATGCTGCAACTTAATTAGGTGATTTCATGGAGAGAAAACCTGAGTGCTAAATTTGGTAAGCAGTATCCATTTCCAGATTCAATGCAAGCAATTGGCAGAAATAACGGTGGTCCACCTTGTGCTGCCTCTTCAAAAATTATTGTTATGGCATCTATATACACCACCATATCCGGTACATGTGAAGGAGAAACATTCTGCAATTAGAACACATATTACATAGTCTGCCATCCTAGTTTTCCCCACAAAAATGATTAAACAAATTGAGAAGGCAGAGTGGGTTTAAAAAATTATACCTTTACATGGACGCAAAGAAGATCATCCGAGTTGCAATCAACAGAAAAGGAACGAATTTCTACAGGCTGAATTAATTCAACCTTTCTCTTCCATCTTCTTCCTGGAGTAAAAATTCCTTCCAAACCACACCGTACAGAAAATCTCTCCTGCCGCAATGGCACACCACGAAAAGACAACAATCCTTCTTTTCCACTTTTCCCACTTTCCACAAACTGTTTGAAAGAAAACTGATTCCAATCTTCCGGGTCAAAGGCAGGTTTGGTGGTGCTGGGAGGCATAGCTGGGGGTGGTGACAAATTAGGTGGAAGAGAGGACATGGAATAACTTCTAAAATGACCAAAAGAAAAAAGCTGAGAGCCTGAAGACCCGGACACTATGGGTTTCGAGGATGTGCTCCGAATACTTGAACTAGTACTTAATGTGGGAGGGGACAAAGGGCGAGGTGGAGGAAGAACAGAATTTTCTAAAGGTAGCAACCATTTGAGCAACTCGCCATAAGGATCTTGATTCAGAGCAGTAGGAATATCCTGCTTCACAAGGGCTGGCTTTGTTTTCTCATACTTCTCGAATTGAAGAATCTCCAGGACCGGATCCTTAACAAAATGAACACCAACATTCACATGTAAAAGCACCTGCATCCGTCCAAACAAGAAGCAATGAAATTCAAATCCATGGTATTGCATAAATGATAAATCTTAAAGCTGCAATGGAAACAAGAACCTGAAGAGACAAACAAGCAAGATAACATCACTAGAACAGGTATCGAAATGGATAAAACTGCATCATGCACTTAATTTAAGAAAATAACTTTTAATTCTTCTTTATGGTGTCGCAGTTACAGACACAACACCATTGCATGATACCACAACCATGATGTAAAGTAAGCTCAAAGGTAAATATATATACAGTTTCAACTAAGGCACTGCTGCCTACTGTCTGGATGTATTTTGTATGAAAACTTATGGAGGCTGCTACTCCATAGAAACCGTGTACCTATCCTAAAACTTTAGGATTGGCCTTCCCAGACACCAAAAACTAATTCACATCAGTACGGTTTCATACATCTGGCAACAGCGAGGTAAATAACTATCTATAGTCCTCCCATTCAACACAAGCCAACCTAGCATAAACAAATGCAATACCATATTGCACAACTAACTGAGCAAGCTTCTGAATGAATATCAAGTAATAACCCACTGCGGAGTAATTCTGCCACTTGGAAGTAACCGTTATAAAAAATGTCCAAGCTCACACCTGAACTGTATTCTTTGACTATGATAGACGATTTTCCAAAAGATGATGTTATCAAACATGCAAAGAACTCCAATATACTCCAGCTTTTAAGATTCTACAATAGCAAGTTAAGTAATAATATTGATAGTAACCTACTTCCTAAATACAGTAAAAATAAGATGACCTCTGAGATTACTCAGAGAGGTGTTATTCCAGTGTTCATAACAATGTAGAAATAAATAGAGGCCTATAAAACTGTTCTCGAGTTTCTATGACACACCACTATGTCTCCATTTGAAAGGGCCCTGCACTTGACAGCGCCTCTTGCCAGTCCACCAGATGTGCGAGCATCAAAGTGCCCTCTGTCAATTGAAACACTTAGTGAATTCTTCATTCTAGTTGTTGTTGGGGTTTCTGAGGATTCTTCATTCAGTTGTTCCTCGAATGCAGTTGAAGATTTCAGAAAGCTTTCTTGAGCTCTTCTCTTGGACCAAAGTGGTTCATCTGACTCTGCAACTCGCACAAAAAAATGTGAATTTTCAAATCTGTGTAGCAATTGTTCAGTCTGTCTCCTGTGATCTTCCATCCTCAGAAGAGATTCTCCAGCAGAGGCATCCTTATGCGAATCAGTATTTCCTTCCATCACATGTTCACCATGTTGATTATCTTGGTCTTCAGAACCTGCCCTCAATGACTGAGTACCTGGGCTTGTTTCTCCTTCGATGTTTCCATTTTGTTTCTTGGAGCTTTCTCCAATACCATTTTTGTTCATGACAGCAGCAACTTTAAATGGTGTAATTATTTCTGTGTCCTGTTTATAGGCAGACAGGCATGCAAGAATTCCAATTTGTTCGCCTATGATGAAGGACATAAACAAGTGTTTAAGAAAAATAATATGTAATAGAGTAGAGCATGCAAGCAAAGAGTTAAGATAGAATGAATTCGGGGGAGAAAATCAACAGACACAGAAAGGCATACCAGGAAAAACAAAGTTGCGATCAAGAGACCGAAATGAAAATATGTCTGGTGCCCCAAACCAATTGTCAGGAATTTCTTCTGGAAACAGAAACGAACAACGAAAAAAAAATGAGTCAATATGGTTCACTGTAAACTCTAGTACAAGTCTCTCAGCATTTCACTTCCGAGCTAAAATGTTCAATTAACAACGATTTAATGTAAAAGAAATCTAGAAGATGGCTTAAGAGTCCACAAACAATTCAGCTGCTCCCGAAAGTAAAACAACAATTCAACAACCAAACTATAGTTATCATGACAGATATCAAAGGAAAGCCACATATATGCTTTGGTTTCAGATCGTATATGTAATGTTGAATGGTTCTGGAATCTGGATCAGCTAGGGATAAGACTAGGGCCGCCATTCACAAATGGACACATTCCTCTTATCCTTATATGAAACAACAAGGTTGATATAAGTTTAAACTCCTCCTAGAGAGGGGAGATAGTTAAGAATTAGGTAAGGGGCATTATTGGAAGGCAGGAGAGAACAGATATAACCCTTTTCATTTTTCAGTTGCTATATATTTTACATAACAAATATACTAAACCTAACTACATCATTGATGCTACAGAACCAGGTGAAGATTATCCAAGCTGCACTATATAGGGTTTAAAATAATGTGAACAATGAAGAGAAAGAATGAGATCATACTAGATGGAATAATTATCAATCCAGCATCTTCTGTAACGTCTATATGGCTATCAACTTGAGAGCCATTATTTTCATCTGGAACTGCTATCTTGTTGTTCATATCCCCAAATTCATCACCTTCTACATCATGAGTTACTGGAGGCGTGGTTCCTGTAAATGGTTCCTCATAAATTAGTCCTCCTAAAGTTGTAGCCGGTTTTGACACATAATTGGTTGCAGCATGAGTCTCCTTAACAGGCGGCAGCTGCTGAGCTGAATTCTGGTTATTTCTTAACAAAAAGTTCATTTTCACCAAAATCCTTCCTGCAATGCAAAGAAGATTAAAACTTACACTATTAAGTGCAAGGGAAAAAAGTAACGAGTGCAAGATCAAAAGCTATTTCTCCTTCAGGAATCAAAAATAACTATCAATATCATGTTTCAACTAGAATATGTCCAGATATACATGCTCTCCAAAGAACAATAAACTCACTTATCTAGCCGAAACAAGACCTCAATCTGATTTCCAGGGAACATAACTTGTAGAGAACCAGAGGAGAAGAAAAGAAGAAGAAGCAGCAGCAAAACTTCGCTGTGTAATATATTTCAATTTCGAGTAACATTTACACGTGAATAGAACCTAAATCAACAATAACGCCAAAATCATATGCACAAACCCGCGAATTCAAAACACTGAACAACAAACTTCAACCAATAGAAAACGGAAAGAAAAAAAGCACATTGATTTGTAAAAAACTAACCTAGTTGTTCAGCTTCAATTACTCGTTTTCATCTATTAGTTACAGAATTTCACAATTGTAGCAGAAGTAACGGATGATTCTACACTCCTAGGACGGAAGCACAGTCCAAATGAAGCTAAAAATGGAAGTGATCCGAATATTCACCTGATTGGGAATTGTTAGATCACCAGAGCGGCGGCAATCGGGGACGATATAGAATCCGATCTATATAATGTAAATGTGTAGATTCAGCAAGCCTGCCCTCCAGCGGGTCGTGATACAAAGCTGATGCACGTTCTACGTTCTTTCAGTACAACAGGATCTTCATATTCCTCCCTCTCTCTATCACTCACGCCCAGACATTACAGCATCTCTATCAACAAAACTCTATAAAACCTCAAAGCGACGTCATTCAAAACCTATCATCTACTCACATAATCATAAAGACATAAACAATAAACTTCAAATAAGTGATTATACCATTGCTAGTTTAAAAATAAAATAAATAAATAAATAAATATTTACTGGCTTTTTTAATAAAAATATAAGGTGAAGAATATTTTATTCACATTTTAAATATTTTAAAATTACATTATCAAAAATGTAAGAGAGATGGTTTTTTTTTATTTAAATTTCTAATACTTTTTAAAAACTTATTTATTGTTTATATTTAATATGAGATTTTTTTATATTATAATACAATTTCTAATTTATATTGATAACCTTTTTAAATGAATGTATAATTTTATTAAATTTGAATTAGTTTTAAATATTGATAAATGATTTGACTTTATAATAAAGATAATTAAAAAAATTTATTTATTTTATATAAAATATGGATATCAAATGGAAACTCGTCAAACGATGATTAATTTAATATGTTATATATGAAAAATCTGATTACAAATTGGTATCAAATGTTCATTTACAGTTGGTAAAAGTTAGAAACGTCTGAATCTCGAGCTATCGGTTGAACATCTTTGAATCTGCAAAACTCTCATACAAGAGGAATTTTGCGGTGAAGAGCCTCCGATTCTTAAGTTAGCACTTAAAGAAGATAAAATGTTGTATAGAAAATTTATAATAGAGAATGCAATGTGGCTTAAGCCATACTTCACTCCCTTTTATAGAGAGATTATACCTTGTGGCCCAAGATGGGCGCGTGAGCAGCCCCGTTTAAAGGTGTGTGAGCTAATCCAATTGCTCGTTCGTACTATTCCAACTTCCTAGACTGCCCAGCTGCACAATTATTTAGTCTTCTTCATTATACGGTCTAACTATGCATTTGCCCCCAATTACCTCGAGGTGGGATATCACCAACGATGAGCTCTGCAGTCCTGCTCATCTGGTCGATCCTTCGACCAGGTGCTCTTTCGAGTTCAGCTTTCCCCAGGCCCTCCACAGGCCTCTATTTGAACTGCTGGTGTCCTTTGTGACACCAGTGTCCTCTTCGACCTGAGAGTCTTTCGACCCAAAGAGTCTCCATTCTCCATTCGACCTGATGACCAGTCCGGTTCGATTCGGTTGTGTCTCCGGTCTAGTCAACTTGGTGCGGTTATCCCATATCATTTGGTCCCCCACTCTGGTCGAGTCGGGATGACTCGATCCAAGAGTGAATTCGAATGTTATTTGTTTTTTGCCTTATTTATCGACCTCCTTTTGGCTCTTCAGTTATTGCTGCATTTCGGCTCCATTTTTTGCGGGGCTTCTTTTTTGTTTGAATTTTAAATTTTAAATCCTCACCACTCGTCTGCACCCGTCTAGCCAAAGTGCCAAACCGTCACGTCTCCACATGCCGCTGTCAGTCCTAGTGTCCCATCGCTTGGCACTTCACAGTCCGTGCGACCCTTGTACAGTGTTCCACATTTAATGTCTCGCTAATCTCGCCCGCTCCTCTTCACTTTAATCCAACGGTCGAGCTCAACCTGTCTCTTCACCTGCTACCCTCAATTTGTCCATTGATCCGACTGCCAGAATTCCTCAATCCCCTCATCTCCTTCTTCTTCTCGTCCATAAAAGGCTACCTTAGCCAATTTTGCAAGGTTTTCCACCTCTCCGAAAAAGTCTTCTCATATGCAATCACACTTCCTTCTCGTGCTCGAAGAAAATTTCGTCTGCCTTCCAAGTTTCTGTCGCTCGCACCGTCCACGATGCGTAAGTTTCTCTCTCTCCTTTGTTCTTGTTGCATTTTTGCGCAATTTTGTTTGTTCGATTTTCCTTTTTCATTCCACCTTAAACATGTCGTCCGCCCTTTTCTTTCGATTCTTGAAATTTTTTCTCTTTTTTTTTGGTCCCTTTCAGATTCTGCGACTTTAAGCGAGGGTGACCGTCACTCCGGTCACGACATGAGCTCCCCATCTTCTTCCGATACTCCTAACCCCCAGTTTTCTCCCTCGACCTCCCTCAACCTACTATTTGTGATATATACTACCGATTCAAATTAAAAGAAAATGTTATATTTTATTAAGAGATACAATATCAAGTGAAAAAAAAAAATGGGACAACCATCGTTGATTATAACATAACAATTATTTGTATCCTAATCGTTTACAAATGTTTTTTCTTTAAATAAAAAAAGTCATATTATATTTTTTATTTATTTAAACTACCGATTGATTTACGACCAAAATTATTATATCTCTTAACAAATTTTTAAATTCTAATAATGATTAAATATAAATATAGCACATGCTTTAAATACTATTTCGATACATACAAATCAATTTTTATAAATCATCTCAACACACAAAGAACGAACATCTTTGATATCTTAACAAATTTTTTTTCACAATTGGTTCTTTCAAAGCAAATCATGTTGTATCTTTTATTTAATCTACTTATTGATTTACTAACAAAATTATTATCATTTCAACACAAAAAAATGTGATGCATACCACCTATTTAAATTAAAAAAAAAAAATAGTTATAGTTTATTAAGTGACACCATATAAAATGAAAAAAAAGGACAGTATATACAATGTCAAATGCAAAAACAAATAGAAAAAAAGGAAGGATATTGTTGGTCTGCTCTTGAAGGTGGTTCAGCCACACTTAGCTATAAGTAGTTGTTTCACGCGTTACGAATTGTAAGAGTTTGAGGATCTGAATTTGTTGTCATGACGGTGTACCAAAAAGTCAAACAAAAAATATGTTAATGTTGTGTTTAATAATATATAAATAACATTTTGTTTTATTTCAATTAAAGTATTTTATGTTTTGAACAATGATCTCATCATCCAAGTTAAGCATCACACGAGTACCATGCACACTAGTGTACCACGAAGAAATTAAGATAACATAGTTAAGTAACGCAGGTAAGTTAATAATTTGTTCTTATTATGTGATTATCATTTAAAAGAATTCCCAACAAGTTAGCTTCTTATAGTGTTTGTTGCAACTAACTCCATTCTGTTTAACATGCCAAAGACATGAGAGATTACTGAACGGTGAATATTTTTACACAATCACATTATTTTCTAATCTGTATAAAAAACTGAGAGTCGATCAACTGGTGATCACACGACAGTGTTTGCAGTCTTTTCTGCCGTGACTGCACTCGTTAGCTACGCTCTCTATCTGCGGCTTTGATTAAACCAAACTTGCTTTTAAGGTATTTGATTCATGACGGCGTAGCTATTTTTATTTTCCTATTATTATTCTTCTATTAGTTTTGAAGATACCATATTTGATAATGAAATCATCCACTAAAGGTACTATT